CTTAGAACTTGTTTTCCACTAACTGGAGTAGTCATAATTATATAGTATACAGTAATGATCTGAAAAAAGTAATATTCTTTATGTAGATTTTATGCCTTTTTACTTTATAAAAAAGGAATTCTACATCCTAAAACAAAATTCCACTTGAGTGGAGTTTTATTAAATTTTTATTTAAATTTGAGTTGAAATATTAAAACAATAATATCAGTACTTCCCACCAGAAATCACGAATCATTCTTACTTGTGAACCCTGGAAAGCCTTACAGTAGACAGGGTCTAAAATTTTTGCTAGGTTTTCTTTATACTTTTTAAAGTTGTTTTCTCTTGTTGCTTTGTTTTCTTTGTGACAGAAAAAAAAAGAAAAAAAAAATGGTAGTGTGGAAAGTTGCACGATGGAAATGTAATCGTCCTGGCTATATTCACAACTAACAGGAAAAATTTTCTTTGTCCAGTGTATGTTAAGAACTAAGTTCTTGTTCCAGTGATTATACTTATGTTTTCCACTTCATTTCATTTCCACTTTGAATATTAACCTGGATATGCCAAAGTTTTAATGCAGTGTAAATAGCATTAATACAATATGGCATATAAGGTGATGATTTTTTATAATGTGATGATTTTCATTAATTATTTTACATTTATTCATAAATATTTGATACATGTCCCAAGTGCTTCGGAGTATCAGAAACTAATATAAGACCTGGTAACTGCACATAATGGTGATCATAGTCGAGTTGGGAACAAAAGATCCTATATGAAAATTAAATCTCTCCTATTGGGCAGTATGTGATTTGTGTAACAGAAGTCCAGTGTGGGACATTACATTAAACCAAGTCCTAGGTTAGGTGGATCTGCCTTCTAGGTGTGCTAGGTGACCTTCCTGGGAATCCGTCCTTCCTTTTAGGTCTGAGCAGAGATGGGAAGCAGGCCCTCTTTGTGCCTCAGACACCCACAGGTAGAGTGCTTTCTACTCTACTGTAGTGGCTCAGCAGGAGAGGAGGAGGAGAGGCTGGAGCAGACATTCTGGCCATTTACTACATTCGCTATCCCCTTGTGAAGCAGAAGCTGTGCCTAAGAATAGACTATTGGGCACGGTGTGGCTATTTCAGGTTGCTGAGGGAAAAATACCATAGTTTTGGGAAGCCCAATAAATCAGTGAGGGCATCTTGGACAAGAAGAGTTCCCTGGAAATTGGAAGAAGCACTGGGAGGAGAGTAAAGAACTGTGGAGAAGGGCTGGGGATTTAGCTCAGCGGCAAAGCGCCTGCCTGGCAAGTGCAAGGTCGTGAGTTCAGTTCCTGGTACCGGAGAAAAACCAAAAAAAAAAAGCTACTGTAAGAACTGTGGAGATAGAGGCTCTGGACAGTTGCTGAGGATACCTGCTCTCTCAGTTTTGTCTGGAGACTGCTGGATCTAATATAGCAAGTTCAGGAAGTCTGTATATATTGCTATAATACTGTATGTAGGTATAATCTTTCTAAATTGTTTTGCTTTGGAATTAGCTAAACTTCCTGCTGTGTGTTATGTTTAAATTCTCAAACATAATGCTGTATGACTGTAGCTTTTCTTTTTTTTTTTTTTCCACTTTTCTGGGTATTTGTAAATGTTAAGATTTTCTTTGTTTTTAGAGTACATATGTTTATTTATTTGGATCTACATCTAAGTAATGTATACTTGTCTCTTAGATTTAAATTCCCGGGGATGGGGCTGGGGATTTAGCTCAGCGGCACAGTGCCTGCCTGGCAAGTGCAAGGTCATGAGTTCGATTCCCGGTACTGGAAAAACAAACAAACAAACAAACAAAAATAAATTCTGGGGGTAGGGTATAGAGAATCTAAAGCTTCAACATTTATATTTTTTGTTAATGAAGGTGTTTGGATACTTTCTGGAGACTTTTTAAAAAATACATAACAATTTTTATGAAGAGTTTCTTTTCCTGAAAACTATATCTTTGCCTGAACTGTCACTGAATCCACTGATGCAAAAGGCCATAAAGGCAGAGAACCAGGTGGGGTGGTGCACAGATGTAATCCCAGCACTCAAGAGGCTGAGCAAGAGGAGCATGAATTCAAGGCCAGCCTGGACTGCATAGTGAGACGCTGCCTCAAAAGAAACAGAAATAAGACCTGAAGGCCACATAGGATAGCTACATGAATAATCCTGATTGCTCTGATGGCGTCAAGTATGTATACATATGTCAGTACTAACCAAGTTGTATGCATTTATTGTGTATCAGTAAAACTTCTATAAAAGCCATCTAAGTTGTAAGGTATATTAAAGTTTGTCATTTATTTTCATTTCTCTATTTTATTTTATCTTTATTCACCTATATATCACATATCCTAGACATACTCATATATTTCAATTAAGAAAGATAAGTAGAACTATAGAGTTCTGTGTTCTAGGTGAAATTTCAATATTGGACTGTAGAGAGCTTTTTTTATATGTGATACAAACTGGATTACCTTTAAGTAATTTCCACAAATTTGTTTAGAGAATTGGAGTTGCATTCAAAGGAATACTTTCCTTGTAGCTTAAAATAGATTATGAATTTTCTTTGACGTAGACTAAAGAACTTGATTTTTTAGTAAGACCTTTTTTTAAAATGAGGTTAAATAGCTTAATGCTTCCCCTTAGATATTTTTCCTTTTTTTTTTTTTTTTTTTTTTTGTTTTTTTGTTTTTTGGAGTCTTTATGAATTAACTTTTGAGATGTTGGGGCCACAGATGTTGAGGTAAATTTGATAAGGAAAGAACTAAGTCTGTTACGTTCTTCCTGACCCTGTGGTCTTTGAGCCCAGCACAGAAGTTTAATACAAATTTAAGTGATGGTTTAATATTAACTAAATATTCCTTATATTATCCAGTGTATGTTTTAGGTAATTTTCCTTATTATTAGAATTAATGCATGTGTTAAGTTTAAAGCATTGACAGTGTTTTTGTTTTTGTTTTTCAGTAGCGGAGTTTGAAACCAGGGCCTTCACACTGAGCTACATCCCCAGCCCCTTTTCAACACAGGGTCTTGCTAAGTCACTAAGTTGCCTAGGCTGGGCTTGATCTTGTGATCCTCCTGGCTTAGCCTCCCAGAGTGCTTAGGTTACAGGTATGCACCACCATGCCTGGCTAACATTGACAATTTTTCATGAATAAAAAGTAGGCTAGAGAAATGATCTAAGTTGTGTTCTGGGTTTGGGACTATCAGAACGTTAATGAGCTGTGGCTTTAAAACTCAAGCTCTTTAGAATTACCCATGTCCAGGCCAACAACCCAGTGGTGAGATCCTGGATTGGGTACTTTTAAAAGTCCCCAGGCCATTCTAATGTATAACCACTGTGCAGTGCTGACTTCCATACCATGCTGCCCCACACTCAGAGTTTCAAACATGGAGAAAACCTGGAAGAAGAATTCGACACCTATATTCCTCTACCTTGATTCAGTAATTATTAACCTTCTGCCATATTTGCTCTATGACTTGCTCCCTTCCTCTTTCTCTGTATATATACTTTTTTTCTGTACCAAGTAAAAGTAAGCTTCAGATAGCAAGGCTGTGCCATTAGTCATGATGTATCAGTGTATATCTGCTGAGAATAAGGATATTCTCCCACATTATCACAGTATCATTATTGTATCTCAAGACAATTAATAATGACTTGGGATGTTTCCCAATAGTTTACTTCCATTTATTAAGGCACAAGAACCTGTATTTTTCAGATTAAATGCAAGTGATATGAGAAATTCTGTAGACTATGAAAATATGAGAACTTTTGCATAAGATTTGTTTCCATTCTGTTTGCAAGTAAGGGCACTACTTCAAACATTTTTATGAGGTAAATGCATTTTCTTATGGATGATGAAGAAGAGTATTTCTAGTCCAACATTTCATGGTTATATCACCAGGAGAAATACTGATCAAAGTTCCTGCCACAGGGTGGATTAAACTGAGTGAAACTGAGTGAAAGAGCTCAGTTTCAAGCCAGACAATGTTGGTTCTGTTGCTTGTTGCAGGAGACACTGAGAAAGTTAAATTCTTGCGTCAGGATCCTTTCAGAGACTGCCCTCAAACTCAATGGACTCTTCAGGAAATTTATTATTTCATAACAAATTCAGAGGTGAAGCAGACTCCAGGCTTGATCTGTTCTGTAGCTCAAGTTCTTAGCATCTCTCTGTCCCTCCCACTCCTTGCTGGCCTCAGCTTGTGTCTTGGCTCCTTCCTGCAGCTGGTTCACAGTATTTTGAGGAAGTCAGGAAGCTACAAAGATGGCAGCTGCCCCTGTCTTTCTGTCTGATTGGGCATCTCTGCCTACTTCTGGACTGGAACTGTTTTCAGAGGCCCATTCTGCCCTGACTGGCTTAGGCCTACCTGTCTTCTCCCAAGGGCTGGGGATGGGTTCTTTCAGGGAGAGGATGGGATATGGTCATGCCCCTGAGAGTGCTGATTATCCTTTTCTCAAACTGCTGTCTTTGCTGTAAAATGGAACAGTGGTATCTGCCAGTATGGTTATTACTGCTACAACAAAGGTAACAAAACAAACACAAAGCTGATGTTTAATAAATGCTAGTTCCTGTTCTCGCCTTTCCACTTCATAGAAAATCCCATCTTCCTTTGACACTGTCTCACACTGTAGTGTAAGCAAGTGTGAGTCTCAGAAGCCTTTTTCACCTTTCTTCTCTACTTAGTATCTAGAGCACAGGATTTTATGTGAACCTTGCAGATTGGTCAGTTAGTTTCCATTAACCCATCTTGGTCTGTCTTATTTTTTTCTATGTATTTCAACTTCATACTGTATTATCCCAAAGCCAGAGAAGGGAAAGTTGTCAACAGGGTATACGTAGTTGTCAAGATCCAGATCAGCTATGAACAGAAATCTCATCAATTTTACTATCACTAAGTACAACAAAGTTAATATATTTTCACTTGTTAATGTAGTGGTACCTGCTTGTAATCTCAGCACTCAGGAGGCTGAGGCAGGGGGATTGCTTTGAGTTTAAGGACCAGCCTGAACTACATAGTGAGAACCTGTCTCAAAAACAAACAACAAACAAAAAGAAGAGCATCATGACCTGTGGGAGTGTCAGCAGAATAGGAGGTTCTTTGAAATATAGTAGCTTATTGGTCAGGACAGGCCAGGTCTTTGGTATTTCAGGATAGTCTAGGCTTACTACAGTAGTGTTCTGTGCTGGTTTCTCCAGAACTTCTTTTCAAAAAAGAGTTGTGCTTAGCTTTCCAGCAAGCCTTTTTTGGATTGTTTGGTCTTGAATCCTCTCACATACACAACACATCCTCCAAAGATGTGTTTTCCACTGTGTGTGAACAGTGGAGGGTTTTTGTTCAGGTGTGCCCTTTCCAAAGAGGTAAGAAGGATCGGCATGTCTTCCCCAATGGCTATTTCTAATCATTCCTGGTATATCTGTAAAGTCCTGCAAAATCATTACACCCCAATTATGTGGGAAGATCTCTCAAAATTTTCTTTCAAAGTGAGGGAATATTTGAATATTTTCTTAAAAGAAAACTGTTAATCTTTTTTGACTTCTCCAAGTAGAATGCTTAGTTCCTGCTGACCTCCATGCCAAGGGAGTAGGAGAAGAGTGGAATGTCTGGTGTCGCTCTTCATTCTGCGGATGCTGGACCTTGGCTTGTCACTCTTCAGTTATGGTTTTTTCACTTTGTCTTCAGATTTAGCACTGATGAAGTATATATTGGTCTGTTAAGCTCTGCGAATGCTAAGAATACTCAGAGTTTGAATAGCTTCATCCATAATTCAGAGCTTCTGCTGGCGTGAATTGTTTCAGCTAGAGGGATGTTTTTAAGTGTGTGTTGATCTTTCTTGTGTATCTCAAATGAAGATCCTGGATATATGTTCAAGTAGCACAATGAAAACAAAACTCTGAAATAAATTGTCATAAAAAAAAACCAGAGAAGCAACATTGTGACTGTAATTTTAGTTGAAAGTCCTAGAGTTTTGGGGAAAAAGGATGAAGTAGGATTTTTCAGGTTTGAAGCTTTGTTTCATTTGTGCAAGTTTTTAAGTTTAGTGTGTTGCAGAAAAGTTTTTTGGACAAGATTCCCTTTGCTGTGGAGCAAGTGTTTTTGGTGTTTAGCTAAGATTTGCTACCAGTGCCTCAGACACTGAAATGAAAAGTGAAATGGCTGTTGTTTCCCATCTCATAACCAGATTTTACTTTAATTTCCATTCCCTAGTATTAAAAAAAAAAAAAAAAAAGCAAAGATCAAGATCCAAAAGCTCAAACAAATCAGAATTTAATTTCCTAACTAGAATGAGGCTGACTTTGCCATGATGTGACAGGAATATGTAGGAAATGTTTGTTCATAGCTACATGGTTAATCATACAATTGCTGGGATTAATGCTTGGATTTTTTTATTTTTTTTTTCCTGTCTTAATTTTTTCCTGTCTTAATTTTATTCCTGTCTTAAGATACTCCACCAAGCAGATAAAACCAGCCAGTTCTACGCAGCTGAACTGACTCAACTTCTTTCTCTCCCCCACTTTGAGAAATGTTTTTGACTGTGTTTCTTGTCCCTGCTTCTTAGTCTATCAGAAAATGGGACACAGATCTAAATGCTAGTGATTGGCAAGCAATAGGAGTCGGGAGCATATTGTCTGCCTCTTGCTATAGAAGACTTATGCTCTGATGATAAAGTCATTGCCAGAGCTTTGTCTTTATTTCTTGATCCTGTCATTTCTGTATTCTGACTTGGAGCTTCCGAGAGGCAAGCTCTACAACCTCAAGTGGTGTGCAGTGTAATCTCAGGGCAAACTGCTTTTGTCCTGGGTCATCTATTCCCATGTTTCACCGAGGAGTTCTTATTCTAACTGAAAATTACAGCATGAGCAGTGAGAAATTGTTAACCAGCTAAGAAAAATATATGTATAATACCTTAAAAAATTGTTTGGAAAAAAGATTATACTTGGAGGATATGATTTGTTACTATTTCTGAAAGATCCAAATACCCTGGCAAAGTCTGAGAGCCTCGTGTCCATTTTACCATGGTAAGTATTTTACAAGGATTAAGGATTTTGCCACTCAGTGTGTGCATCTTCTCTTGTGTGCTGTGTGACTGTCCCTTTACTGGTCAGTTTGAGTTTTGAGAATACTTCTTTTCTTAATTTTTAAATGAATTTGCAGCTGGACAAAAACAAAGGATGGTTTGAGGATATTATTGGAATTGTATTACAGTTGAAAAACTTCACTGTCAGAAACTGTCTATAATTTGGCAAAGTACTCGTACATAAGTTGAGTTTTATCGTATGCTGAATCGTGGGTCCATCTTTCCTATCTTAGCATGAAAACCTTGGGTACAGGGGCACTTCTGTCTTCCCATCACTGTTGTGCTTCCCACAGCTGATTTCGTGTTCACTGAGTGGTAAGTGGATTAGGTTAGTGGTGCTGTGTGTGTGTGTGTCTTAACTATGAATGGAGGAAGTGCTAATAACACTTCCTGCTTGTGTAGCGTGTTTTCCTCCCCATTTCTCAGAGGAGTTGTCCAGTACCAGGATGGATCCCCAGACTGTGTTTTGTTCTCTTCTAATTCCTGTTGGGAAGTGCTGCGTAAAACTTTTCACTTGTTAGCTTCCTTTTTTCTTCCGTACTCCTAAAAATCAGAAAATATTATTTGCTGTTATTATCCTCATCCTGAGAATAAGGCACATCTCAGCCATGTACTTTACCTAGGTTTATTCTGCAGTCAGCCACAGAGCTAAAAACAGAAATCGGGGCTCTTCTTTGGCTTCTTCATTTTATCACTGAGCCAGTTTCCCACTGTTTCAGGCACCATCACAGGACCAGAGCAAACGCATTTCCAGGTACCAGAATTTTCCAGTGCCTCTTCTTCAGTGCTCTAATGCGAGGATTTACACCAGATTTATTGTCCGGAGTAAAGTTTCATTGCCAGTTATGAACATGATCTGCTCCCACATTATTCCTGACCTGACTGCTGTCCCAGAAGTTGATGGATAGTTAAAGGAAGATTGTAATGAATGCAATTCCGGGTTTTCTTTTTGCCCTTCTAAATGTGATTGACCAGATTGCTTTCTGCCAGGAAATTTCAGGAGTGGGCAAATGTTAATAAACTAGACTTTTTTCGTTGATAGTAATAAATGTAAAGCAGATTCAGTTAGCATATGTTGATACTTGAGAACTTCCTGCATTTATAGGTAGAATCAGCTCCAACCACTGTTAAAATGATGTTGTTCCTGTAAGACTTGGTCACCACATCTGAATGCATCTTACGCTTTGAATATGTTGTGCCCAGTTCTTTTCAAGTTTGTAGAACTGGAGGATACTACTGTGAAAACTGGAAGGATTGACTGCTTTGCTTTCAAGATACTTTTTAAAAGTCAAACTGAGGATGCAGTTTTTGAGACTGACAGTCCCTCCCCTCTTCTGAGGAACAAAAGTGAAAGTTGCATTTTGATTCATTCTTCTTAGTTGTCATAGTGAGCACGTAAAAAGACGGGAAGTGAGTGTGGTGTGCACACATCGCGCAGCTCTTCTGTCTACGTGCCTCTGCACGTGAGCTGATGCATGCACGCACATGCCACCAAGAACGAGTTCGTTCTTGCTCACACACTGCCGAGGGAGGCTGGCAGGCCACTGTGGTCCTGGGCGCAGTGGAAATTGGCGGCCTTCCCTCTCGTCCTATTAAACAACAGCCTGATGTCAGGCCAGCAGCGGTGATAGTGGAGCCACCTCAGATACTCTCAGCTGGCAGAACTGTGGAAGACCTGGCTTTGATCACCTTCCATTACACTTGAGGAAATGCAGTGTGGAGAAATTTGTTACTGTCAGAAGTACCGGAGTGGTCCTTTAAAGCTCTTTTTAAAATATAGTACTTCACATTTTCACATTTAAATCAAACAGCAAACCTGCGTGATAAAAAAAGAGAATGGTGGTTATTCTTTCTTTAGAAATATGCTAAGCCACATCCAGAGGAGGAAGAGTTATTTGGTGGTGGAGTGTCTGAAATTCAGGTCCTCCAAGCCCTGTCTTGTCTGTCTTTTCACAATGTTAAGTAACTTCTTTAGAATAGTAATTGTTAATTGTTCTGTTCTGTTACTTCCTCTCCCATCTAAACTGTGTGGGATGATGATTTATGAGTTTTTTTCCAGTCAAGACATCTGTGTATTAAAATCAGATACAGTCGTGCTGCATTTGGGAGCTTGCAGACAGTGAGACACTCCCCTCCCCAGCCTCCCCGAGCCTTCTGAGACAGCCCGAGTCTATACTCACCAGCTTCACTGGGAAGATTTATTAACAAGATGGTCCCGTTGCTCATTTGGCCTCTGAAAGCCACATAAAATGGAGGGAATGAATGATTGTAATTTTTGTGTGTGTTGTTAACTGCAAGAGACAAAACCAACATGAAAGGACTGTTCCATTCATCAGAAAGCCGAATTTTATTAGGGGAGGAGGAGAGAGTTAAAGGACCCCTGTTAAAACATAAATGTTTGTTATAAATGCTGTCTTTCCCATGTGCCCACTTCTGGTGTGTTTTCTCGCAGTTACAAAAGTGGAGAAAGAATTACCTTCCATGGTTTATATAACTGCATGTATGGTTTGCGGGGACTTCAGTTTGCAGGTAGCTCCTGGTTATCTCTTCGTGACTCCAGGTTTTTCAAGGTGATGTTAATAACAGGAAGAAGGGGCTGGGGTGGACCTCAGTGGTCGAATGCTTATGGGGCACGCTGGACCCCTGAGTTCGATCCCCAGTGCTGCAAAAAATAAAAACAAAAGGAGAATAAGTTTAGATAGGTGTGAATTAACTACGGAAAGTCATGTAGACGTTAATTTCTCTGCTGAAAGCCAGCTTACCTGGTTTTGAGACCTGACAGAAAATGTTCAGAAATCATATATATTGGCTGGGCACAGTGTCCCACACCTGTAGTGCCAGCACTCAGGAAGCCAAGGCAAGAAGATTGCAAATTTAAGCCTGTACTGGGCCATGAGACCTGTTTTAAAAAAAAGAATAGATCTTATATTTTTTTTAAGTAAATGTAATTTAAAAAATTTATCTATTTTTGCAGAAATGCTTTTAAAAATGCACTGTGGGTGGGCATGGTGGTACATATGTAATCCCAGCACTTGAGGGGCTGAGGCAGGAGAACTGCTGCAAGTTCAAGGCTAGCCTGAACTGCATAGCAAGATCCTGTCTCAAAAAAGAAATCATGGTGGCACACAGTGGGCACTCAAAAGCAGATTTTAAACAAAGCTGTGGTAATCTTTAGTTAATTATGTTAGCAATTTCTATAAACTAGCATGAACATGCATGTGTCTATTTAATTTATCTTTCTTAACTAAAATATAAGTGCCTTCTGGGTTAAAAAAAAAAAACAGCCAAATGAATAAAAACTTATTGAAGGGGCTGGGGATTTAGCTCAGCGGCAAAAAGCGCCTGCCTGGCAAGCGCAAGGTCGTGAGTTCAGTTCCCGGTACCG